CTTGCATAATGTGTGAAACGTGTGTTCCTCCCAGAGGAATTCCTACAGCAAACCTACCTGTAGATGTAAGGGGACTACAAATAACACTTACCATAAGCATTCTATTTGTTAACTTCATACATAATGTCAAGACCCAGTCTTTCAACCAACAGCACTGAATACCTATTCTTTAAAGGCTCCCTACCTTCCTTGGTATTGTGTTGTTTGCCATCCTCTGTGATATTCTGTAAAGATAATCTAAGACAAAGGTCTTCTCTGACTAGGGTACACATACCCCCATGGGCATGCAAAGACTTTTTAGGAGTTATACAAGCACAGAAAGTTTTAAAGGAATCAATGTTCAGACCCTCATATTCCAACGGTACCCTTCCCTAAAATAAATGAACTTGAGAAAGTCTCTATATCCAAAACCACGCTTACCCCACTTTTAAGAAGAAAGGCACCATCCAAACCTTGAGTACGTTGCATTTCCAGGGGTAGACGTGCCAAAGCATAATGGAAACCTCATGTAATGACTACTGAAAACACTACGAACCTACAAAACGTCCTGTCTTTCCCTGGCGTACGTGTATTTCTGTTACAGGTGAAGCCTGGTGTTAGAAACTAAAGCTGGTACAATGAAGAATAATACAAACTCTAGCCTAACAGCTCTGCCTCCTCTTCTTGCAACTATTATCCGAGTACACACGGATCTTGAGGGATAAGGCCCAGGAACTCAAGTGAAAGGAGCACTGGAAGGAAATATTGAATGCTAAAAATGGCTTTTTCATGTAGTTAAGGGTAAGCATTTTTTCAGCTATTCTCAACACTCATATTGAATCCTAAAAATGGCTTTTCTCTTGTAGTTAAGAGTAAGCATTTTTTCCAGCTATTCACTTCAAAATCACTTTAATAACCCAAAGCTGTATAGGCTGGTACTGCTGCTTCTCAGAAATGTAACTGGAATATTTTCTGGACTTATCAAATTTTTTAAGATACACTGGAAGAAGTGCCTGGGTAAAACATTTATATGATTTTTTTCAGATTTCGTATGCATTTTTAAAAAGGAAGTTAAAAACCTATTTTATAAACTCGCATTATAAAATACTCCACTTATAGATAATCCTTATCCCATTTCATCTTCTAAAATGTTGATGTTCTACTCCCTTATAACAAAAATAAAATTACTTATTTCAGAGCAATTACTTTCTAGTAGTATATGCCCCTTTCTATCTTTAAATACATAGGAAAAGTTTTATCATGATGTCTAATAAAGACAATTAAGTTATTTCTGATTTTTGTACTAAATATTATATAATTATTCCCCAGAGCCAAACACTAGACTGTGCTACACACATCCCAACACACACGAATATTTAGAGAAAGAATAACATATGTTTAAAAAATCATATTTATCTCTTGATAAATACCGTATGATTTAACCTATAAATTACATTGCATTACTATAAATTAAGTACAATGATTTATTGTCTTCTTTACAATTCATTATACTAGATCCACATTATTTTAATCTCGACTGATTCTATTTTATGTAATCCATTCTATAATTTATTTCTCAGTGGTTTTTGTAAAGCTGCTTCAAATACATTAATACATTTAAATTAAGAGTTTTTTTGGTTTCTAGGTTTTTAGTAGGCTTGATGATGAGGGATGGTTTTACAAATTAGATTAGAACATATTCTCTGTAAGCTAAAATTGCAGTACCAGTTTTTTTAAAGGGTTTAAGCAAATGATAAAATCATTTTTCCCAAAACTGTTAGATTGTCAGTGATGTAATCAAGTTGCCAATATTTCCACTTCCCCAATCCTTTTTTGTATTATCTGGTTGAATAAATTGCTCTCAAGTAAATGAGTAAGGCTTATAATTAAGAGTCATTTGATAAGTCTTGATATAGCCTTTTGTTATAATTCCCAGAAAAGAAGAAAGCGAATGATTCTAGTAGCTTGGCAACACATCCTTTTGTAAGCCAGGTCATTTCCTATCTATTGCACCAAATTTGAAGGAGGATCTCAACAAATTGTTACTTGATAAACCATTAAAATTAAACATTGATGGCAGTAGTACTAATAAATTATTTTTGTGATTTGGGACAAATAATTCAGAAAAAAGTCAAAGACTTGAGTGGTACCATTGTGATAAACGTACTTCCATCTATTCATTTATGTGAACAAAATACCTCAGCATTTATGGAAAATAGGAATAAAATTAATGTTAAGCTGTACTTCATTCCAGCCATTAAATTATATTCACCTACAGGCACATCAAATAAGGAGATCCCATGCATATTATTAAGAGATACAGTGCTGATCAAATTTATGTTTATTTTTAATAATTGTTTATTAAAATGTATAACATGGTTCTTTGGTTAGTCTGAACTTAGATATTTTTTTTTCCGGAGGAGTATGACATACCGATAACTGAAAGATTTGCAAACACAAATGCATCATGTTAGAAAAAATTATAGGTGAGAAAGAGAATGAAAATACAAGTAGCGGGTGAAAAGGGAAAATGTATAAAATATTTGAAAGTTAAAAAAGAGTTAGTTTGCCAGGCATGGTGGCACATGCTTGTAATCTCAGTGCTCTGGGAGGCTGAGGCAGGGAGTTGCAAATTCAAGTAATATGTGGTTAAGTTAGTTACTTAGCAAGACTCTGTCTCAAAATATAAATAAATAAATAAATAAATAAGGGCTGGGGGTGTAGTTCACTATAAATTCCCAGTACTGCAAAAAACAGAGTTTGTCATGAGAAACCATTATGAAGATATCAATATGTAATACAACAAGCATTGTTAATTTCCTACCACTTTGTTTGTAACTCTGTATTGTCTGTACTGTTCTTTTGTTATTTTGTAAAAGGTTGTCTGTCTGTTAATGTTTTCCTCCTTTTATTTTTAAAATAAAAAAAGAGTTTGTTATATATTTCATAAATGTATGATGATACAGTTCAAAGTGTTATGGTTTTTAGATGCTCCCAGGTACATTTAAGTAATTAGGTAACTACTTTGTTTTAAAATGTCAATACTGCACTTCTGGCTTCTGGTCTGCCAAGTAATGAGCTTAGACATCACTGTTCCTTTCCAACAAGAAGTAAAAAGGAGAACAGACTGAAAAATCAACAACTTTCAGAGTCAGAGAAATGAGGTCACAGGACAAACTGATGCCACCCAAATCAGAGAGTGAAACAAAGAAAATCACAACTTTCTGGAACAAAAATTCACAAGCAGAAAATTCTGAAGGGACTGGGGCCAGGCAGCAAAACAAACTGACAAACTGTGGCTCATTGTGGACAATATGGGATTTAAAACTCCACAGGTACTGAAAATCTTAACTATGACCTATACCAAAGCACCTCACCAAAATGCCTCAAAACCAAACACCGCAGAGGTCTCCCCCTGACCTGGGAGCCTAGGACCAGACTGCAGGTGGTGGGCTCACTTGACAAATGCTTCTCCACTGAGGCAGAGGCAAATGAGCAAGGACTGGTTTCTCTGCCTGCTTTGGGTCGCCTCAGCAGGACTTGCCCAGCAGCCATTGCCTTTCACCACTGAAAGAAAGAATTTCATGCAATGAATCCCCATGCTCATCACCCTTAGCAAAATCTGCAGGATGGTTTCTCTTCACGATCCACAAAGCTGTTTTAAATTTGCAGAAGATAATAAAATACTTTTTGAAAAGCAGATACACCATCTCTTACCAGCAGTTTTTTTTTTCCTTCCAATAAAGGTCTAAGGGTTGATGGGGACTAGTTCTTACAGTGCCATAAAAACTGATCACGGTGAATGCCAGGCGTGGTGGTGCACACCTGCAATCACAGCACTCAGGAGGCTAAGACAGAAAGATTGTCATGAGTTTGAGGCCAGCCTGGGCTAAATAGTGAGTTCAAAACCAGCGTGAACTACATAGCAAGACTCTGTCTAAAAAAAAACCCAAAAAACTGATCATGTTGAATAGATTCACTGCTACAGAAGCAAGATGCAGGTCTTCTGGTGAGGCACCTTACCTTTTACCCATACTGAAATAGGTAGGCCTCCTGGAGGAGGAAAATTTCAATCCACAGCCTTCTTTTTCCAGTAAGTTTCGGAAGTAAGTTGGTCCCTTCATCATGAAACAAGATCACCTGGCTATATAAATCTCCCCTTCTTTAACACACTGCACATAAATTCAATAAATTAGGGTTGTCTTAAACCACTACCATTAGCACAACACTGTCCTAAGTGCTACAGGTCACACAAAGGAAACAGACAATGTCTTAGTTACTTGCTCTTCCCTGAAACGAAATACCAACACCTGCAACTTAAAGGAGGGGAGATTTCTTTTAGCTCATGGTATCAGTCCCTGGTTGGCCAGCTCCAGAGCAGAAATGGTATGACAGAGGGGCATGGCAAACAAAAAGCTGCAAATGACGTGGTGACCAGGAAGCAGAAAAGGAAGGAGCCAGGGAAAGAGATACATCCTTCCAGGTCATGCTCCCAGCGACCTGCCTCCTCCGAGCAGGCCCTACCTAACAGCATGCTAGCTACAAACCCATTAGTGGAGCAATCCACCAACAAGTACACATGAGACTTTGGGGGGACATTCCAGATGCAAACTATAACAGATGATGGCCTTGTTATCCTAAACCTTTTCAGTTCTCCAAGGCTTGGAATCGGAACAACATAGCTTTTCTCTTGACTCTCTAGAAAATTTTAGAAACATCAATTACATCGTGTTGCAAATACCTGGAGAAAGGGCTTGATGGAAAGCATGAAGTAGTAGCTGTGGTGGTGGTACTAGTCTGTCTCCCTCTGAGGATCAGTGGTACATAATCTCATCATGCCATTTTTCCTATGATTTCTAAAACGGCGTTTTAAATTTCATGCAGTGAACAAGTAAGTCAATGTGGGCTGGGTTGAAAGCATTAACAATACAGGATCTTCCTTTGGGGACTCTGAAAGGACCTGTTTGAAAGAAGTGTATCATAAAGGAGTTTTCTGGACAAAGAGAAAATGTGCTTCTTACCTCCGACCAACAAGTAGCTGTTGGGAAACAGTGTTTTTGCCTGCATAAGCGCCCTCGCATGACCTGAATGGAAGAGGTCGAATATGCCATCTGCATACACTCTGACAGGCCTATCAACTGTGAAGAAAGAAACACTGTTAGCAACCTTGCAGTAAGGAATCACTGTTGCTTACCACTAGTACAGTGCCACAAGAGAGAGTACCCGGATGAGACACAATCTCTACGGACCATCAGTTTCATATTCGTGCATGAAATTGATTTTAAAAACAGGTTCTTCTAAAGACATCAAAGGAGAGCAAAACCAAAATTAAGATCAAACCAGAACACACGATATAGCCAAGAAGAAAGACAAAGAGCACTGCGGAGTTCTCTTGACCCAGAGTGGAATATAAATGCCTGAGAAGGCAGAGTCAGCCTGGCAGGAAGATCGAGGCTGGAGTAACTGAGGAGTCCCATGGAAAGGACACATGACTATGTCCCCGAGTCTGAGTCCAGCAGTGCTGGATGAAGACCCATGTCCTGTTCTCAAAGGCAGTGATGTGCTAGACTTGTTGATATCTCGGATAGTTACACACTTCTCTTCCCACCTCCAGCTTTCCTTGTCAGCCCGAAGCGAGCCACGGTAACAGTGTTTACACAACAGAAACTGACAAATGCTACAAGTCAGGGCTTGTTCTTGGAGGGCCAGTCGTCAAATATTTGCGAGCATGTCATTGCATAAGGTCACTCTGTAACTTCTTTGGTGTTATAAGAGTTGGGAGACATGCCCCAAAGAGAGAGGAATCCAAATATACACGTTGCATATAGGGGTAGTGCTCCTGGTTAGAGGTTAATAATCAACATTATAGTTCTTCGTAGTCTTATAGGACAGCATTGCTAAGCCAGGCCAAAGACCCATCGCCTTCAAGTCAGAAGGGAGAGTTTGTGGAACAAGGTCCCATCAATTTGGTGGCTGAAGCAACTCACAAACTGGGAGGAAGGAGGCTGGCACTCTACTGCAACCCCCCATCCTGATAGTCTGGAAGTTGTCTGTTACATTTGTTGGAATTTTCTATTTTTTTCTCAACTTTTACACCTTTTTCCACTCGCAACGAAGGAACTGGAAAGTGAAAATCCAAGAAGAGGATGCAAAAATGAATGATGGGGTAAAAAAGTAGTTTCTCATATCAAAGAGCTCTTGTGCTAAGCACATCTGATACCCCTGCTCCATGACTGCGCCCAGCAGAGACACTTTATCCTGCCACTGAGAAGAAGGAAGGAGACCTCTGTGGTCACAAGAGTGTCCTTTAAAAAAGAAATGGAAGAAGATAGACACACCATGCCTGTAGTCCCAGCTACTCAAGAGGCTAAGGTAGGAGGATCGCTGGAGCCCAAGGATTTGGGACCAGCTTGGGTAACACAGTGAGACTCCATCTCAAAAAAAAAGAGAGAAAAAAGAAAGAAAGAAAGAAAGAGAGAAAGAAAGAAAGAAAGAAAGAAAGAAAGAAGAAAGAAGAAAGAAGAAAGAAGAAAGAAGAAAGAAGAAAGAAGAAAGAAGAAAGAAGAAAGAAGAAAGAAAGAAAGAAAGAAAGAAAGAAAGAAAGAAAAAGATTCCCCTATCTGCTCCTATTTTACTTTAACCGTGCACCTGTTTTTGCTTGTGTTGGTAGTACTGTGAATTGAACCTAGAGCCTTCGCACTGAAGTGTATCCCAAGCCTTTACTGAATTTTTATTTTGAGACATGGTCTCACTAAATTGCCTTGGCTAGGCTTGAACTTGCAACCATCCTGTCTCAGCCTTCTAGTGTTGGAATTACAAGAATGCACCACCATACTTGGCTAACCTTGTGCTTATTGGCCAACCTCTCCCTGTCCCTTCCCTTTCTACTCTCCTGAAGGTCTTATAACCACTATTCTACTCTTTAGTTATCTCCACTTGATTATTACCTGATGTAAACATGAATTAAAACATCACATTGAACTGGCCATGGTGGTGTGCACATGTAATCCCAGCACTCTGGGAAGCCAAGGCGGGAGGATCATATTCAAACCCAGCCTGAGCAACTTAGCAACCTAGGAGATGCCGTCTCAAAATTAAAAGGAAATAGGCTGGAGATGTAACTCAGCGTAAAGGCCCTGAGTTCAATCCTCAGTACCCTCCACAAAATCACACTGTATCTCTTAAGTTTGTACAATTATCACATGTCAATTAAAACATGGAAAAAGAGAATATGAGAGTGTTGGTTAAATTTGGCTAACTGAACACACATGCACACAGTTATTTCCACCTCATCCCAAACATCACAAAAATTACCCAAAAATAGTTTAAAAGATACAATTTTCCCCAAGGTTAAAAAAAATACAAGGAAGCCGGTGGCAATCGATGAGAGAGGTCAACATCTTGCAAAGTTAATTGTCAGGCATTGAATACTCAGGGGAATAAGAACTAGGGGTGATGTAGGAAGAGGAAGGGATTGCTGACTGTCTTTATAAACCCGAATCCTGTCTTTTAAAAATATAGGTTATATTGATGCTATAAAAATGAATTTTTACAAAAGAAAAAAATCAATGCAAACTTCTATTGAATGACCTTTAGGACTTTAGGATTTTAGGATTTTAATTCTGAATATTTCTTATCTGTAATGCAATTCAACTCCATTAATTTACAACATAAAGAAATACTACATTAATAGATTCAGATGGGCACAATAATTCTAATAAATTAAATTTCTCTAATAAAAAAATCTGGAGACTTTAAGTCAGATTAGGAGCTGCAACTATTTTCAATTATACACTATGTGGAACAAACAGACTTGCCTTCACAGGATTATACTGTATTCTGAATAAGGCACAGTAAACAGAAAATGCTTTGAAATAACAAACTGTCTAATGAGGGATCCTCGATTTCAATGCTTTTATTCAATTTGAATTCAATTGAGGAAAATTTGTTTTAAGATATAAACCCCATGGGAAAGCAGATGGTAGTTTTGTAGAACTTTTTGTTAATGATTCAGAGGTGATCGGGATAAATGAATTCAGAAAGCAAGAGGAAAGAAAAGTAAAGACAGATGACATAATTACTGAGAAAAAGGCTATTTAGTGAATTTAAAGAGTATTTGCAGAGTTGATTTTGCAGTGAGTTCATTTTTCTAAATTGTAGTGTGTCAGCAATTTCCAGACTTGGGAAACTCTACAGGATCAAAAACCAAAAAGAGGAACCTGGCCCCTTCTTTAACAAATTCACTTCAAGAAAAAAAGCAGAGAGAAAGAGAGACAGAGAGAGAGAAAGAGAGAGAGAGCGAGAGAGAGAGGAGGAGAGAGGAGGGAGGAGGCAGGAAGAAGAGAGAACCTGCACAATAAAAGAAAATCAAAGTTATACCAATTTATTGTTACCTATTCATCTATCTTGTTCACACTCCTTTCACCCTTCAGCTCAAAGCCTGGGCATGCTTTCACTGCCCTTTGTGATGGACAAAGCAAGGCTTTGAGGTTGAATTCCAGCTCTACCCAGTCAGTTAGGACATGTGACAAGTTACTTTTTGGTTCTCTAAGTCTCACTTGCCTCTTCTGTAGAAATGATACAGTAATACCCATCTCACATGGTCTTTGCAAGGTTAGGTGAGACAGCGTACGGAGCATCACATCAAGTGGATACGTAGTAAGTGCAACCTCCTTTCTCTTTCCCCAGAAAAAAACTATTTTTCTACCTGAACTTGAAGCTTTAGGTCAATTCTGTTTTCTTTGTAACCACCTTGATATGGTTTGGATCTTAAGTGTCCCCGCAAAAGCTTAAAGGCTTGGTCACAAGCTAATGGCCCTTTTGGGAGGAAGTGGAAACTTGAAGAGGTAGGACCTAGTTGGAGAAAGTCCAGTCATTGGAGGAATGCCCTTGAAAGAGATTATTGGGACCCACCTCTTCTTGCTTTTTCTCACTTCCGGACACCATAACGTGAGCAGCTTTGTGTTTTCCACAATTTTGGAAAAGATGGCCGTGGTCATGTTTGTCATTCAATGCAGAGTTCACAAATGAAAACAAAATTTTGCCAAATGTTTTTTTTTTTGTTAGCCAAATTGTTTGCAAATAAAAGCATTTGTGAACTGAGGTACCACTGTATTTTGTGACAGTGACAGAAAGCTAACACACACCTGGACTTTCATTTAGCATCCCTTGGATTTATTGTGGGTCAGTATTTCTCAGTGTATGGCCACCAACTTCAGAAACATCCAGGTTGTTTGTTAAAAGTGCAGGTGCCCAGGCCCCATCCCTGATTTGAGGATATGGTGAGCAAAGCAGGGAATCTACTTCTTTTTTGGTTTTCCTTTGTTTTGTTTTTTGTTTGTTTGTTTTTTCTTTCTGTCTTTCTGAGACAGAGTTTCACTATGTAGCTCAGGCTGGCCTCAAACACAACAATCCTCTTGCCTCAGTCTCCCAAGTGCTAGGATTACAGGTGTGTGCCAACATGCCCGGCCTGGAATCTACTTCTTTAACAAGCTTACCAGGTGACTTTTTACACACTAAAGTCTAGGGACAACTGTTCTGAGCTATTTTGCCAAGTTTTTTGTCTCCTGTCTCAAAAGAAGTTCATGAAAAGTTTACTAACTTTCCTACCCCCTCCTCACTTCACTCTCCTCAAAGTTTTTTCTTTCTTTCTTTCTCCCTTCCCCCAATACTGAGGATTGAGCCCAAGACCTTTGGGCCTTTGCACTGAGCTATGTCCTCAAGCCTTGGTTTTTGTTCTTTTGGTTTTGGCTTTATTTTGTTTTGCTTTCAAGACAGGGTTCTGCTAAGTCAACAAGTTGCCCTGGCTTGGCTTGATCTCATGCACAATTGTCCTGCCTCAGCCTCCCAGAGTGCTGGAATTACAGGTGTGCAGTGCTATGTCCAATTTGATATCTATTCTTAAAGAGAAGCAGAGTGTCAAACACAGGAGGTCAAGCTCTGCACAGATTTGAGCTCAAATCCCAGCTTTACCACTTGACAGTGGTTCTCTACATGTGATCTGTAGAGCAGCAAATCACCTGAGGAAGTTGGGGCGGGGGATATTTGTTTGTTGTGGTACTGATGATTGAACCTCAGTTGAACAGGGGCTTGCGCATGCTAAACAATTGCTATACCACATCACTAAGCTTTTCCTTTTTTTTTTATTTTGGGGCTCACTAAATTGCTTAGGCTGGCCTTGAACTTATAAGCCTCCTGCCTCTCAAGAAGCTGGGATTACGGGTATGTACCACCATGCCCTACTTTTGCCTGGAGACTTGTTAGCCATACACCTTCTTGGACTCCATCCCACTTGAATGGAATCAGCCTTCTGTGACTTAACAAGTCTGCTAGGGGATTCTGATACATGCTGTAATGTGGGAACCACTGCCACTTACTAGCTGAATGACCTTGTGCAGGTTCAAAGTTCTCTGAGCCTGCATTTCCTTCTCTATGAAATACGAAATATTCTAAACATAACGAGTTGTGACAGAGAAGTGATACAATACATATAAAGACCTTAGTACATAGTAAGCACTTCATACTTATCCATTATTATTATTAAGCATATTGCCCTTTCCTCCCATGGAGCCTTTTAAGCTCAGGTCTTTTTTTGCAATGGTAAGTGGGAACCATGCAGTTGTATCATCAAAAATGACTCAGAGCTTACCTCCTCAATTAGTCCTATTTTTTACTTCCTCCCAGTCAACTGGAGCGACACTCATTTACTCCCACACTCTCTATCTCTGTGCCTTCGCTGTTTCTGTTGCACCCTCCCGAAATACTTTTCCGTTTTTCTGCCCACACAGTCTAAATCTTACTTCTCTCCAAAGTATCAGTTCTGTTCTACTCCCTCTCTGAAGTCTTCCCTGACCACCTCGGGCCAAATGAATCTACCCTTCTCTAAATTGTCAGCTATCATCTGTGTTGCAGGGTATGCATACATCTACTTGTGACTTGTATTTCATATCTAATTGTCTTGTCTCTTTAGTTATCACGAAAGCCCTTGGGAGACAGAAATGGTACGTTATAGTTCTTTTTAAATCCCTTCACTAGCCGTTCGCTGGTATATGCTAGGAATGAATGCATGAACAAACTTCTATAGGAAAGTCCTGTCTTTTTGTAAAACATACTGGAAACTTCTCGAAAAGATGGACTTTAAAGAATAGTAATTATAGTAGCTTAGGTTCATAAAGGCCTTCATAGTTTAAAAAGTGCTTTGGTGCTTTTTCATAAATTTAGTTGTCACAAAAACCTTCTGGAGCCACGGGCAGTGGTGCAAGCCTGTAGCCTCAACTACTCAGGAGGCTGAGGCAAGAGGATCTCCAATTCAAGGCTAGCCTCAGCAACTTAGTGGCTTAGAAAGACCCTGTCTCCAAAAAAAGGGGGTCTGGGGCTGGGGATATAGCTCAGTGGTAGAGCACTTGCCTGGCATATGCAAACCTCTGGGTTCAATGCCCAGTAACAACCGCCCCCCAAAATCCTTGTGGAGTAGGTATTGTCCTTGTTTCGCACATGAGGAAACAGACTCAGTTCTCTTTCATGCCTTGCTCGAAGCTGTAGAAGTAATAAATGGTGAAGCTAAGGCCCAAACTTGGGTCCTCTGCTGCATCTTTTACTTTGCTACTTTTACTTTGATTAATCTATTTTATCGCCATTACAAGTCGACGTCTCTAATTCAACTCTTCAGTTGAAAGCGAGTGCTGCTCCCGTAATGACACGCCGTTCTGAGACTTGGAGTACTGAGACAGGGCCCGCTTGCGGAGCAGGAAGCACAGTCTCACCTGGTGTTCCCAAACGAGCCTGAGCAATGGTCAGTTTTTCATGGGGCGCTTGGCACTGGCAGCTGGTTTCATCTGCGAATGGGGCAGGTGCAGTCAGGGTCTAGAAGGGAAAAAGAGAAAGGGAATGTAGTCTGATGCATTTCCCCACTTCCAGCACTATCGTCCCCGAAAGTCTGATTCCTGTTGGCTATACAGATAGGATTAAGAAGTAAAATGCCTGCTGAGTCTCTCAGAGAAACATTGTTCCTCTGGAAACCAAGACTGGGCAGGCCCTGAACCTCCCCCTCCCCCTTTTTTATTGGTGCTATAGAAATAGTAAGAGCTTTTCAGTGTCTGCCATATATCAGGTACCAGAGAGGTGCTCTGGATATGTCATCGCTTTTAGGTCTCACAACACTCTCTGATGGATATCTTGCTAGAGCACAGGCTATCTCCCTGTTTCACAGAGTAGGCAACTGAGGCTCAGCAAGATTAAAAAATATGCTAAGTCATGCCCTTGGGAAGTCAGAATGCCCAGCTTTGAACATTTCCCCACCAACGAGGGCAGTCTTCAAACATTTAGACTCACCCACAGCTGGGGTACTGGGCCGAAAGGAACGTCATACTCGGAAGCGTGGCCTGACATCTCCTGTACTTCCCACACACCAGCCTGGCCCGTCACAAACTCTGATGTCTCTTCACTGCAGAGGGCAAGGCCGTGATCTGGACCCTGCAAGGGCCTAAAAGCACAGCAGTTCTGGCGGGCTGCAGATAACTGTTACTGTGGTAGCTTCACCAACCACCAATGGCTGCAGGCCCTGCCCCAGGCAGCTTGGGCTGGAGCTCTAGGGAACGCTGTGAGAAAGATGTAGTCACTTGGAAGCCTGCCCAGGAAGTGGCCCTGCATTTTTTAGTCAGCTTCTTAAAATGAAAACCTCACTCTCTGCAGACAGAGGAAGACAAAGCGAGTGGTGTTTTTGTAAACAGGGTAAATGCAATCCAGAGCTGTCCATGTGTAAGTGTTTGAGCCACAGTCACCACTACAGCTTTCGGTGTTTTTAAAGCTGAAGTTGACTAGTCATTGTAAATGTTACTCAGAGTGCTTGTGGGAATTGTTTCGTAGAGATGGAGACAGGTGTTCCTTAGCGTGGGAAAACTGGACCGAAGAGGGAGCCAGCCTTGTGAGCAGGGGCTGTGACCCACTTCTGCCGTTCATTTATTCAGTCATTCATTCAAATATATATCAGGGGGCTGGGGATATAGCTCAGTGGCATAAGCGCCTGCCTGGCAAGCACAAGGTCCTGAGTTCGATTCCCGGTACCAAAAAAAAACCACCACCAAATATAATCAGACACTTCCTTAGAAGCTGCGACTAGAAGTGGAGATAAGACCAGTCCCTGTCTCTGAAGAGCTCCTGTTCTCTGGCAGTCGGTGTCCCCCTGGCACCTGTCCTCTCTCCCTATCACAGCACTCCCCCACACCAAGCACGAGTCCTGCCCAGCTGCCTGAGACTTTCCTAACCCCCTCTTCTTCAGGGCTCTGGAAGCAAACCAAGGCTTGGGATGAGGATTTGAGGAACTGAAGTCCATTATTAGTTCTTTTTCTGATAAATTAAGGTGACCTTGTAGGTCCTGGGGGACCAGAGTAACATTTATAATGTGGCGAAGGGGTACAGTGACAAGAGTAGAAACTCTGCCCACAGAACCGGGGTTCAAATCCCCTTCACAGCACTTACTGGCTGTGGAGTTTAATTTGGTTCTTCCAGTTAAAAGCAATTGACACTGTTAACTCAAGGGATGAAGGGTTGATTTTAGGGCTACTCTGGCAATGAATCTGTAGAAAAGGTGGAAAGGAGTGGAATGTGGCCGCAGAGTGCCAAGCACTCAGCATCAAGCTGGCTGTTCCCTGTGACTCTTTCTGCCCATTCCCATTTACCTGACATCCTTCCACATTAAAATCTCTGCTGTCCTCCGTTCCCCACGACTTTGCTTGAATATGGTTCATCATGGCCTTCTCAGCCTCTTTCACAGTCCTGCTCCTACCAACTTCCTGCTTCTTTCTCTGTTACTGGACTGATATTTCCAAGGCAGGGTAGGGTGTAGGTCGGTGGTAGCATGTCTGAGGCCCTGGGTTTGACTCCAGAATTGCAAAAAATTTCCTAATGCAGAATCTAACTGGCTAGATATCTTTTCAAATCAGGCCGTAGCTAGGATTGGCTGGAATTGGGTCAAGCACCCACCCTCGGGCCCAATTGGTATGGCAAAGAAAGTTATGAATGGTCTATCATCACTTTAGCAGGAGCTAGAGATGAGATGAGAAATGTATTTGGCCCTGTGTGCTCTTAAAAGCAACTTCCTTAACTTATCTGAACCTCAGCTTCATCTGTAAAACGAGTAATTATCTTGCAGAGTTGTGAAAAACAGAGATGATATGTATAACATACTTGGTACTCAATACATTGTAGCTATTATTGCTGTCAATGCTTATTGTTATATAATGGATGTAATCCTGCACATTTTGATGTAATAGTATAAAATGTTGTTTTCTACAGAAACAAGCAAACTGCCTGATGAATGGACTTTAGGATACAACGCAAACGGGTAAATTGGCTGGCAAATGAGGCTAGCTTACGTTACCTTTTTTATATATAGACAGTGAATCTTTCTCATATGTCCTAAAATAAATTATTATTTGGAGATCTTTTATGTGCTAGTCACAAAGTTTTTTAGAGATGAGGTGTTGCCATTTTCCAAGAAAGGTGTATATGAGAGGGTGTGAAATCTGATAATTAAAGCAAAGATGGAGGAATTTGTCAAACAACAGTGGTTACTCAAAAGTGAAGAAAAGGTTTATATATGCTGTGTATTTTGGTCTTGATTATTGTAGCCTAGAAGCAGGAAAAGGGGAGAATGGTAGAGACGAAGGGCATACAGAATTCCTGAGCGCATACCTGTGCTTGTGCGGGCATAGGAAGGTGTCTTTGACAGCAGCTGATGTGGAAAGCGGTTGTTGCCCATTATATACAAGGAGGTGTGCTTAGAATGGGGAGAATGCAAAAATAAATAAGCCACAGCCTTACTTTCCAGAACATTGTTTTCCAAAGCAAGGCAGAATAACCTCTGAGTTGAGAGTTAAACTCTATTCAGCAAGACCTCCTCAGGGCCTGGCTAACAAAAATCAGCCCTCGGACCCAAGGCAATGTTTTCTTTCAGTCCAAACACCCCCAGATTATTATTTTTTTTAAAAAAAACTCTTCCTTTGGGGACCTAGAATAAATAATTTCATTTTTAAGAAATTCTATGTTCTTCGGGTCCTGCCTCTTCCACATAAAGAGGCAGGCTAAGCTCAGAAGAGTTGACAATAAGAGGGGCAAGGACCGGCTCCACCTGCTGCCAGTCTGTCTAGAAGCCTGCAGTGGACCAAGGCCACCACCTGTTCCTCATCGTTTGCTCAAGCCACAAGTTTCCAGGGATACTCTGCTCTACACATTGCATAAGATATAAAGCTGGGCCTCACTGACACAACAGCTAAACCTCAAGCCCCTGCTTAGTACTGTGTTAGCTTTCCATCTATCTATCTATCTATCTATCATCTATCTGTCTTATTTTAAATATAATTTTTTAAATTTTTACAACAGCTCCATAAGGCAGGTGATATTTCTGCTGAACTGTCCCCAACAGTGACACCAATTGCTAGCAAGAAGCAATAGCAATGGTATAGTTCTCAGATTCAGTTGTGTTTTTGGCTCCCTCTGAACTAAGGAAACGCTCAAGGATTCTTAGACAGTCAGGATGGAGGGACTCAGAGATGCTGAAATTCCTGCTAATTAGAGAACGGGGCACATGAACAATTAACTGAGGAAATAAAAGCACGTTACCATGTTTTTACCCAGACTCAGTGAAATGGGTCAGATGAAACACGGTTAAGTTATTGTGATCTCACTCACGCAGATCACATTTTCTAGTATGTATTAGCACATGCTACAATTTTAATTGAAGCTAAATGGGTAGATCAATAGAGGAGGGGAATAATAAAGGAATAAACAGAATTGGCTGTGGGGCAGGAATCTTCCCAAATGAAGGTAGCCCTTTTAGGATGGGAGAGGGTATTACTTCCAACAGGCATGCTCAGTTTTCAATAATTTCATGTTTAGAACGAAAGCCCTATTCTTTTCTTTTTTTTTTCTTTTTTTTTTTTTTTGGTTTTTCTCCGGTACCGGGAACTGAACTCACGACCTTGCGCTTGCCAGGCAGGCGCTTTTGCCGCTGAGCTAAATCCCCAGCCCCGCCCTATTCTTTTCAACATGCAAATTGTAGAAACTGTGCTTCTGGACTGCTGGGGATCACAGAGGATAGGCCATTTCCCCCTGGAGAGTCATATCCCAAACTCAAGGTTGACAAACTACATAAAATTTGTGCTTAGCGGGAGAGGGAGGACTTTAAAGGGTTAAGAAGCCCTGACCCAGTGCCCTGAGGTCTCACATGTGCAAGACGGAGATTTGGAGCCAAGTCATGATCCAACTTCTTTCCACCTAATTTGGGAGCTCGGGAACATAGTCACTGCATGCGAAGTACTTGCCTGTTTTTCCTGCAAGTTTTGGTTAAGTAAAGTATATTACAATACCATACCAAGCCATATTCCCAACAGCTTTATTTTGTACTGAGGGGTTGGACCCAGGGCCTTCACACTGAGCTAAATCCCCAGCCCCTCCCTTTTTAAATTGCTAAATTGACTAAACTGGGCTCTCAAACTTGTAATCCTCTTGCCTCAGCCTCCCAGAGTGCTGGGATTACAGGCCTGTGCCACCACACCTGGCTCCACCATGCTTTTTGAAGGGAAAGACATTATAAGTTACACATTTCATTTGCAAAATCTCTTCTATTAGATATCGTCAAATATTCGCTCAAAGCAAAAGCTATTAAGTGCCATAAAAAATATACAATGTAAATATTACTTGAGCACAAAAATGGCTGACAGAACCTGCACTTATGCAATGTGCATGACTGATGACTACGGGACCGATCAGAATCACCAATTGAGAATTACAGGAAGGCATCAGAAAGCATGTTCCAAGCAAGGGGCAGTGGGGCTGGGGATTTAGCTCAGCGGCACAGTGCCTGC